GATTATATTGGATATATGAATACTGCTGCACATACACCACTGAATGTGAAAACTTTTCAAAGTGCAGCATGTTTGCACGCCACGAGAGAGGCACACACTCTTGTCGTAGTTTTGTTTTTAAAAAAAGACAATACACTCAAAAACTCGATGAAGTAAAAACCGAAAAAAATGTGCACGGCAGTTAAACAAGGCTGACAGTACGTCTAATGCTGACATAAGCTCCTACGCAGCACATCATGAGATACAATTGAATAACTATCATGCTTGAGGTTTAGTGCTGAGTTCCCCGGGGAAATCCACTGAGCATCACTGCATTCTCATTTATAAGCTGTTGGCACAGCAATTGAGTAATGGCTATATTTTAAACAGTGACGATGACGAGTCTTAGTCCTTGGATTTTGTTCCACAGTGGCTCCAGCATCATCCCCCGTGTATTTTATTTTTATATATTTATTTTAAAAAAAGTTTAGAGTAGTCTGCTCGTCAACAATCATCGTCCATGGTAAACGTGAATTGGCACGAATCGCGCATGTTACAGAAATGACAGAAACAATCGTGATGGGTTTCGATAACGTTCATAAGCACAGCCCCCGTAATACAACTGCGTGAGTTTTCAAGGTTGTGCTCTGTAATTCTCGGATGTCTGTTCGAGTTGTACCATCTGTTGTTCGGCATGTTGCCTAACATTTCACTCCACGTGCCAGCTCCTGAAAAAGCCCCCAGCACATGGCAGTGAAACGTCAGACTTCATGTCAGAGAGCACGCGGTGGTTCTGAAAAATGCATCTAATTGCTCAATAGGCCTTGTCTTGTTTTCCATTGCAGTTGCTTTTTGCGAAGAAAAGCCACTTAATGTTGTGGCGGAGGTCACTAATGAGACAAAGAGTGGAACGTAATGTATTTGTGAGCCAATAGTGTATCCTACCAAACAATTCCTGCTAAATTCAATTGAGAATACAAATACGACCACGTTTTAAATATAAAGCCATGGACATTTGGAAACACATGAGTTACTTGAATAATGTATTTACATAGTCCGGCTTGAACATAAATAGATGTGATTGGTTACAGGCCCCACCATGCATTGTAAAGGTCATTTTGTCAAGCACAGAATGTGACCTTTAACATTAGACAGGCTCTGGGGCAGGCATTCGTATCCACTTAACATTAAAAGACACTCTTTGCTATCGGCCCCACTATCTTCACAATGTCCAGATGAGCTCCTGTTGATATTCTAGAAAACAGACCAGACAGCTGTCAGCTTATCTTATTCGTCTCCAGCTCCACCCGCAACCAATCTGAGCATGCTTTTAAAATTGACCAATTCTCTGACTGTTTAAAAAAAAAAATTCATCACCCTCTTTTAGGAGGGTCTTGCTGGCATTTGACCAATTTTATTTGGGATGTTTGAACAATCAATCGTCCAGGCGTCGCCAAATAACCCAGATAAACCCCACATATACAGGCGGATAGTACTCTAAAGGTTCACACGCATGGGATTATGAACCAAAATAATGTGCTGCTGTCTCCTGGTTCAATCATAGCCCAAATATGGGAATTTCAAAAATCTATGTAATGCACAAACTCTTGTCTGCAAAGTGCCACCATACCCTAATAACAACTAGAAGGCCCATAGAATTTGTACCTCGCGTCCTTTGAACTTGATCGTGTTTAGTGGCAGAGCAATCATCTCTAAGGCAGTATTCCCCAAACTTTCTGGGCTTGCAGACCACCATCAACCCTCAAGACATTTTGCGGACCGCCATGCAGTGACCACTATCGTGTTCTGTGAAAAACGAAGTCTGCAACAGATCCGCGGATCACTTCCTATGGGCATGCGGGTCACCAGTCTTCGACGGACCACGGGTTAGAGACCGCTGCTCAAGGAGATGTCCTCCTTCACAAGGGACATGAAACTGATGTCCTTTCCATCCCCTCCTCAATAATGATCCCAACAACCCTTTGGATTTCTACACAAATCAATAAAGATCTCCAATTCGGTCACCAGCACAACTTACGTTGCTATCATGCAACATTTCCAACAGAGGGTGCTATTGTGATTATAAACTATATTCTTCATGTGCAGAGCTGATATTCCACTCAGCACAAATTGTCAATGAATGGACTGTGCATCCATACGTGCGAGTAAACATATTTTTAAACAATGCTGCGTAGCACAAAGCACAAACACGTTAAATACCACTGCACGCATCCTGCCACTGAGATGTCATAGAGTTTGCACACACCATCCCTGGCAGATGCATGCAGATGAACACGTATTTGTAAAGCGCCGTGCTGTGGCATGGGCAATGCGTTATTCAAAATCCGATGTCGACGTGGGTGCGCGGGGATTACAAGCAATGGCCAGCTGTCTCGACAAGAGCAATATACGTGCATTGTTTGCACGCAGGCAGGTGGATCACGAGCGCGTGTGTCATGAGCAACAGACGGTCGCCTGCAGAGGGCAAGCAGTTTCTCGAGGAAGAGGACGAGGTACTTCAGCAAGTATGTTGAACGTTTGTTGGTGTATTCGTGTGTATTCAGGCAGAAGAACGTGTTTGGATTGTTTTAGAGAAAAAAAAACAATGATCTTCCTGAATGATTAGTTCCACCTGAAAGTGCGGAGTGGAATAAAAAATGAAGCACAACTGCTGAGTGTCCATCAAGACCATTAGACGGTGGCAGCAGAGCAATTCACCGGCTCGCAGCCAGAGTCGTTGAGTGGCTGAATAACCCCAGACATCAATGTATAGCATTTGTTGCTATTACAAATGTCAGCTGCTTATCTGTGCAAATGCCACGAAAATGAATCCCTGCTGACAGAATTGACCCTTCATACTGAACATATTTAAAACTTAATGTGAGATTTGCACATAAATATAATGCTATGCGAAACTTGTGAATGGCCGTGCATATAAAACTTGACCTTTTATTCGCCCACTCGTGTGTATGGTTCTGATTCTGTTCTGATGCTGATGGTACGACATGCAACTGCGCAAATGGTCAAGGTGCGTGCTTTGTGGTGATGCTGTTGTTGTTTTGGTCGGCAATAGCAAATGCATCACATCATATACATGTGCTGTGTTTTTTTTATCATAGCCGTTATAGGTTGTTGCTGTCTATGATGAAATAATTATTATAATTTGCACTTCTAAATAAATAAGAAGAAACAAAAGTGCACCCCTGCAATTGTTTGCTTCTGCCAAAATTAATTCGTGAAAATAAATGTGATTTCTATTGCGGCATACAAAATTGTCCAAGTATTCTTCCTCAAAATTTGGGTCAATAATGCAAATCGGTATGAAATTGTGTTCGATAGTAAACAAATCAGCACACAATCGTGACAGACGCAAATACATAGAACGACACACAACCCAACAAGCGGCCACAAGCCACAACAATTAGCACGTGCGACATTTCTTAACATTCTCTTTGGTTCTGTCGGTAAAGTCACTCTTTGATTCTTTTACCGAAAGTCATGGATTCCTGCAGTCACGAAAGCTTCAAATCAAGATTTCACTACATTGATTTTGGTCTGCAAAAGAGCTATGATATGACCTCAGAAATGTCCCCTAAATACTTGGGGGAATTGGTCAATTTATTTTCCGCCATTTCCTCCAGTTGCTTTGGTCTCCTAGGAGATTAAAAAAAAGCGTAACATTTCAAAACTTTGGAGTGAAAAACATTAAAACGTGTGATTGTTGTTGGGCTTGATATATATTGCTTTGGGTCGCCACGCGTACTTGGGATTCATTGACTACTGGCGCTTAGAAATTCAATTTCATTGTGGCCATATTTCCATCCCGAGTGTTTCTCTGCACTGAAAGCCCAGCCAACCCCTACTTCTAACTTTTGAAGTCAGGTCAAAAAAATTAACCCGTAAAAACAAAGTTTTTCACTATAAATCCTTTATATGCGTGGCGTCGGTTTTATTTTATTATTCATTTCTGTTTTTCTTGAGTAAGAGTTTCATTTTTATCACATTGGTATTTTAAATTAAATATGAAAAAAAATTTCCTAAAAAGTGGAACATTTTGGAAAAAAAACTTCACTAAAATAAATTGTCACGCACAACGAGTCTGTGTGCAAAATGTCAGCTCGATTGGATCACGGGAAGTGGGTTAAAAAACGACCGAAAGATTTGCACGGTCGTAAGCGCGCAAGCAAGTAAGCAAGTGAACTTAATATAAAGGATTTAAAAATAGCTGTTACTATGTTGTAATTGCTACTCTCTCACACACACACACGTTGACTGGCCTGCTGTAATATCCTTATCTCGATTTGCAAGCTTCATGTCATATTCAAACTGCACCAAATGCAGAGATGAGTAACGTTAAGTGATGGCCGTCAGAGGCTGTGGTTCACATACACGGGACGTGAGAGCTACGGCAGTAGCACGGGAGACGAAATCAGACCGTGCTGCCTGATCAGCATTTTACGTTTGTTTAAAGTTGATATTTGGAGAATAAAACAAAAAGGGTGATGCTCCAGAGTTTTCTCGTCCGGCAGATTGTGGGATGATGCATTCGTAAGCAATTTAGTACACTGCAGTTAAGGACCAGCTTTGATTTACGTGTTAATGTAAACTTCAGCAGAGGCTGACAATTTATCGACTGCACAGTCAATTCAGCATGGTCATGAGTCATTTGCCAAAAAAGTGATTTTCATATTTTCGTGTATACTTCGCTACACGGTACAATTGTGACTTAATTTACAAGCTGCGTTATTGGGTACGTGGCATTATAATTGTATATCATTGCACATGAGCCACAGGCAAAGGCTCCGCAGAGTGCCTGTCAAATTATATGGTATTCTGTTTCTCTCCCTTTGCAGCTCCCTCCCATTCAACCACTCGCTCGCTCGCTCGCTCCCTCGCTCACTCCCTCCGTCCATCCGTCTCTCCTCTACACCCCCCACCCGCCTCAACCCATCCCGAACCGCAAGCCTGTAGGAGGCAGCGTGCGCGCGTTCCCTTTCAGCACAGAGGCCGGCGCATGGCCGGGCACGGAGCTTAGTTTCCTTTGCCCCCGGCGTAGCCGCCGCAGGTAAATTCGCCTGGCACATATTGGAAGTGACAGGAGCGAGAGCCTCATCCTATTTAGGCGGCAGGCAAGGAGGCTGGATTAGGTGTGTACAGTGTGAAGCAGGGATCCCTGGCAAGAAGCATCCCTCCTCCGAGCACCGCTACCCGGCGTTGCCAGCGGCGAAGCTTCCACGGTCAACGAAAAGAGGGGAGCGGCGGCTTGGAGGGAGGACGCACTCGATAATTTTTGTTGTGTTTTTTTTTTGCTTACGGAGGATTTAAAGACTCGGCACATTTTAAGTTTGATGGCCGAGAGATCTTCGCGGTTTTTGTACGGAACAACGACGAAGAGTCGGCGCTTCACGACAAAAAACTTAACCGTGGTGGTGGATTGACCATGAAGCCAGTTTCATCGATTTGACGTCGACTTTGTTACATTATATTAGTGTCCTTGGATTATGGGGGCAGCCGATCGTTTGACAAATGCGGCGGCTAAGTGACGGAAGCATGCGCAACTGCCTTTTTGTGTCCATTTGAGCGCCGCGTGCGTGTGGACGGGCTGAAGGGAATTCTCCAAGTTCGCTTTGTATTCATTCGTCTGTGGGGCTGATCGTGAAATCGGTGGCCATGCAGTTGGGCGGACAGGCGGTGGGTTTAAGGCTGGCATGCGTGGCTCTCGCACTGAGCGGCATCGCCCTGCATGCCACTGACGCGCAGAAACGGTTACCTTCAGAAACGTAAGTGGCGCTTTCGACGTGCATTTCATGACAGTTCAGTTTACCCTTTTGTGTTTTTTTTGTGGCTACATATGCAATTGTTTTCTTTTGTAATAATACAATGCATGCATTGTTTATTTACTTTGTTTGTAACGTTAATGATTAAATTCTACTTATTGCATTAAGCACCTTGCAAAATCCACCCAGGGACAATACATCGGTTTTTTTTTTATAGCAGTGGCAGTCCTATAAGCATTACGCATTTTTTCTGGTTATGAGTTGTCAGTGGATGAGCTTTTAAACCATGCTTCAGCATCACGTGACACTTGTGCATAAAGCCATGGTAAAATTGCTCGGATGGCTCACAAACATCCCGGGGGAATTCAGCACCATTATATTTTTTAACTATTGATTTACAAATTGGTCCCAGTGGCTTAAGCTGGAACGAACAAAGAGAGAGAGAGAGCAATGTTGTGAGCCAAGGACACATGTTTGGAGGCACGACTCCAAAACTGGGTTCAGTTATTCAACTCCACCACTCGTGCACACATAGCAAGTAACGGCATGTACCAAGTAGCAAGGGTGCATCCATTGTTTCGCGCACCTCCGATTAGCACAGGTGGCTACGTACGGTGCGAAAGAAGTCAAAAATGCATACGTCATATATATACACCGCTCTGCCAGGCATCCGTATACATGAGCAGCCAAGTTGGTTGGGTTGGGCAGCACAAATAAGTTGGGTGGCAGATCACCGCTGCAGTTCACACATTTGACAAACTCCGTCTCAGGTTTTTATACTCTGGGTTAACGTGTAATCGGTTACGTTGAATGCAGAGAGAGAATACGCCTTCTCTATCCTTCATGTCAAATTAAAGCCGTGCAGAGAAAACCAATGTCATTGTCAATTATTATGACAAACTAGAACACCTGGCGTTCATAACCAGAAGGAGTTGGTCTTTTCCCAGTAACGAACAGCTGCATTGTTACTTATTGACATCGCTTGCCAAATCGTCAATCAACCCGCCTGCATTCGCCGCCTGCAAGTGGTAAACCGCGAGACGGAATTTGTCGCACCCGTGAACTTGACCCTGCGCGAGCAGCCACCGAGGCGCTGGCACGCCAAGTCCAACCGAGGATGTCCCCCCTCCCTGATTGCGCTAAGCTCCCGATTTTGATCGCCGAGACCTAAGCCTGTTACCGCGTTTGCTTCTCGCAGCGTACGAGAATGGGCAAGGACATTTGCGGAGGAGATGCGGTTCGTTTCCACCCGCTACTCTGGGTACAGCTTCATGCAAAAGGTACACAGAGTCGTCGCCAGGGACGGACGCTTGATACGCCGCGCCTCAACGGTCACACTCAGCACGTGTTTTCCATGCCGCACGCGTGGACACGGGGGAGCAGGGATTGAGACGACAGATGGACGAGACTGCTGATGGAATGGCAGTCAAACGAGGGAAATGCGACTGAGAGGATGGCCACGATGCAGATTTAGCGGTGAGATTAGTTGGTGTGCAGAAGATGTGAGATTGATTGTGACATTGCGGGATTGTGATAAAATGGAGAGGCCTTCATCTAGCGGTGGATAGACAATGGCTGATTGTGATAATGATGATGGGTGGGATTGTTTACCCCTCCCATCTTTACAGCAGTTTCATTAATTGTTGAATTTCAGGGCTGCGATTTCATTCATTAATCAATTAAGATTTTACACTTGTGGTCAATAGTTTGGGGGTCACGTACACCAAATACGCACAACATATACCAACAAAAAAAATGTTCTTACACGGACAATTTAGCTGCATTATCCTGAGCAAAATATGTAATAATCGATTCAATGATGCGTCTTTCTGGTGGTGAGGTGATGCAGTTTAATCTGGGCCTTAGATCAGAGGGGGGCCTCAAAAAAGGACCCAACTGGCAGGATTGCCACACCTCCTGATTTTCCTGGGATCTTCTTTTTTGAGGTCGCCATCCAGACAAATCCGAAGACATTAAACGTTCCAGTGTTGTGCCAACGTGTAACAACACACCTCACAAGACGATGCGCGCAAAGTGCGTGTAGTTGTCGCCTCTTCAGTTAGTGTGAGATATTCTTCTTTCAGTAGCGTAACGAGCGTGGGGGCAGTGGGTGCCTTACCCCCCCCCCCCCCCTCGTGGCCAAAGCCACAAGATAGGCCACCCTTGACAACTACCATGAGAGATATGTTTTCAAAAGTGTGAAAAGAACAAAAACTCGTGGAAAAAAGCGGTTGAAGTGAATTTCAAGAAAACGCGTTCATTTTACGTTCCACGTATTATTTTCATTAAATGGGAGCGGTAACTTTTGGTTTCTACAAATTGCGCATATCCAATATTGGGGCCCCACATGGCCAATTGCCGCACCTCCTGAGCCGATAATGTAGTTGCCTACGCCACTGTCTTCTTCCCATGATGTGGCAGCGTTTCTGTACCTCAGAGGCGGTTATAACCTTACAAGGGGTGGGCCTCAGAAAGGCCCTTATCAAAAACTATCACGTAAAAAAAAAACTCTTAACAATGCTACAGCGCTTAATGCCAGTGATTGAATGGGATGCGGTTTTCATCCCATAAGAGTCCTCGTCAATTTTCACAGTCATGCACCGTAAAGGCACATCTGCCGTTTGTTCCCGATCAGTCTGTAGAGATGACCCAGTTTTTTTTTCTGCACTGCGCTGCACACGGAGAAGCAGTTATTCAGCAATGATCAGCTCAGAGAGAATTCTGCTGTTTGACGGCATTGCTGCTGAGCACAAGAGTAGCATAAGCAAAGCTTCGTGAAATAATTGATGAGTGTACGCATAACAAGTGTTATGTGGTCATGTGGTGGGCAGAAGGCGGTGCGTAAAAACCCAGGGTTATACTGTACTTATATGCTCCCATGTCTATGCTACCCGCCTTCACCAACTCGCACTGACCAGCGTGGTGAAGTATGATCAAATAACCCCCATGGCCCGCTCGATGTGGGGAAGCCCTTATCCAGCAGTGAATTGACGGTGCAGCAAGCAGCTTCATGCATCCAGTCGGTGTGACCCTGTGTGTCTTACCCCCACGTGCGAGTGAGTTTGCTCCAGGCACGCCAGTTTCCTCCCACACGCAAGAAAGGAATTGGCCAAGCATTGCAATGCAAGACCCTCCTGAAAGCGAGCCGTGAGACTCTGTCCTCATTTTTTTCTGGAGGGATTAATGTAATTACCAGTATCAATGTAACGGCTCGTGTTCACCAACCCACGCTAACCAATGGCTCTCATCCGGAAATAAGGGATGGCCATGTACATTTTCTCCATTGCTCAAACGATAGTGTGGTGACATTTAACGTGTCTCTGCCATCAACATCGCTGTGAAATACTGTGACCACGATATGCAACTGCATCTGCGTGCGTAGTTCACAGGCACTTGCAATGCAGGGCTTAATTTTGCACTCGGTATTTTCCGAGACACTGCTAAGCTGGCTTGGGACAGCGAGTATCGGCGTAAGGCACTACCACTAGAATACACGGTGCGCCTATACATTAAAAAAAGAATCCTACATTGATTTCTAAAAAAAATATTAAATGCACAAAATAAGGCAGGATGGATGTGACATGCTCTGGACTATTCCGACTGCTAAATTAAACACTGCCCGCATGTATGTCTAATTCACCCGAAACGAGTGTGTGCCCGCACGTACTCACACAGCCGACAGGTGAGGTGTGAGGACATGTGGGCACAAGGCTAAGCTGCCAGCAGTGCAAGCCCTGACACAGGCAATGTGTGTGAATCACGTGATCACCCTGGATCTTTACTGCAGTTCGCATGGCGGGTGAACGTATTATTTGGGAGGTGTCTGATTTGTTTTTTTGGTGACTGAAATGTAATTAGAAACAAATAACTAAACATTTCACCAAATAAATACGTGTTATATTTACAACATTAATGTCCCAAAACGAGAAGGCTACAATATTGTGACTAGCAGAACGCATCATAGACTGACACTCCCAAGGTTAAAGATTCACCGTGTGTCACTCATGGGTCCACCACGTGTCAGTGGTGACCGTGCTCTATCTCTCCCTCTCTCCTTTGCTGACATTTATGAAAACATTAAATTGCAAGACTACACCGATTGCGTCAGTCTGCCACGTGCGCCACGAGGAGTGGGGTCCCTGTGCTCTCTCTCTCTCTCTCTTTGTCTCTCTCTCTCCCAGTGCGGATTCGAGAGGTTTTGCTCTACAGATCGTGTTTAGAAAAACGCCACCTGAGTCTGCATGTCCAGCATCGACTCCAATGTCCCCTAGTTTTGTCGTTGCGGACGAGTGAGGGCAGTCCAGTGCCCGTGGCTTGAGGTTGCTTTTGGGCCGGAGGGGAGAATTTCCCAGCACAAACAGATACACTCTCTACCACTAAATTTCGATTGCAAGCTTTCGTGACTGCAGGGATTCATCTTCTTGGTTCTTTCGGTAAAGTCACGTAGAAGGGAAGTAATAAAATGATGAAAATACCAAAAATAAAAATAATTCTCACGACGTTTCGGCCACAACGCAAGCAGCCGTCCTCAGGTGAAGAATGAAACACCACCAAGCTTGGAGCGTATATTTCATTCTTCACCTGAGGACGGCTGCTTGCGTTGTGGCCGAAACGTCGTGAGAATTATTTTTATTTTTGGTATTTTCATCATTTTATTACTTCCCTTCTACGTGACTTTACCGAAAGAACCAAGAAGATCTCTACCACTAGTTACCAACACACGCCTTTAGTCTGGTTATCGATCACAGTAAGGTAAGGGTAGCTGCGATTCGGACTGTTGAAATGTATCCCATTCAGCTTCATTATTCGCAGGTTACCGGCTCCTCTTAGCCGAGCGTGCACGAGAAAGCGTGTCCCCCAGAAGACGACAAGAAGCGTTTCCTCCGCTGCCCTGGATGTTTCCGTGTTTCCAGCAGCAAGGGAACAACGTTGCCAAGGAAGTAGGACTCGGTTTCTACTCTGGAAAACATTGTCAAGAAATTCATACTCTTAGGTTTTTTCGGTGAAGTCACGTAGGTAAAAAATAAAATTAAAAGTTAATAAAAGTAATAATGGAAATAAAATAAAATAATAAATCACGACATTTTGGAGGCAACACAAGCCTCCGTCATCAGGTGGGACCATCACAACTAAAATTACTGCATCAAGTGATTACTGCATCAAGTGATGCAGTAATTTTAGCATCAAGTGATGCACTAAGTTTAGCTGTGACGGTCCCACCTGATGACGGAGACTTGTGTTGCCTCCGAAACGTCGTGATTTATTATTTTATTTCCATTATTACTTTTATTAACTTTTAATTTCATTTTTTACCTACGTGACTTTACCGAAAAAACCTAAGAGTATGAATCCTTGCAGTCACGAAAGCTTCAAATCTAGAATTGTCAAGAAACATTTCACCTTCGGCCTGTGCGGGGAGACTGCGAGAATGAGCCATCGATCTTGTCACTTGCTAGGGAACATTTTCCCAAGCCATGTTTCCTGCCAATATTTCCGAGACATATTTGAAGAGGCATGCTTCAGGACACGTGTTTCATTGTGTACGGTGGGCTGAACAGTATGACGCAAGATGAAACAGAGATGTATACGAAGGAACCTATTAATATTTTTATTAATGTGATATATTACTATATTATTAAGCTAATAGGATGGAAAATGGTTCATGGATGACTGTGGTGAAGGTCTTCATTGACCCCAGCTACAAGATGTGGTTGCTTACGGGTCACTGATAGGAAGTGATAGAACGAAGCACGATGTTTGTTTATGATGAGCCATTCGTAGTTGATTTATTTTTGTCTCGTCTCATTTAGACTTCCAGTACCGCCTCTCTTGTCTGTACTCTCTCATATGTGACCGTACTCCTCCTGTCGCTTGTGTAGTTTGTGCCGACTGTTTCGTGCGTCTCGCATTGTACCGTCTCGTGTGTTGTGTCTGTCTAATTTGTATCCATCGTTCTGAATCTCATTTGTCCTTTATCGGTTGTTCTCTCTCTCCATGTCATGTCGTGTTGTTCTGCCTCTCCTGTGTCTCTTCTGTCTCGGTCGTTTTGTCGTGTTCCAAAATTTTGCCTAAATGGAGAGCTTGAGAATGTGTTGATTTTATTTATTGCAATTATTTGCAATACATTTGCATACGTTTAACGTAGACAAATATCCCCCGTATAGCCTTAACAGACTGTTGTGGCAAGTGCTGTTAGCGAGCACCTATGAAGGCCAGCACGGCACACGATGGGGTGGGTGGCCAACACCACGCCTCCCCAGTGGCGATGTTTACACACCGC